TTGTGCCTCTGGTAGTACCCGTCAGATGTGTCAGGAGCAGATGAAAATAATCTGCATACAGTACCACCACTCTGTCACTGAATCCAGTATAATATGAACTATCTGAATGCGTCTGTGTGAAATGAGCTCAAAGCCATGCAGTTGAGGCAACTGCCTAATAGTGCTCTGTACATCTAGAGCTCTGAGACTGCAGCAAGCTCAGAGCATGCTGCACGTCTTGCATGTTTGGTCCAGGAACAAATGGGCAAGAAAGTCTTCCACTGTAAGCGTGACTTACAGTGCTCTGTAACCACAGGTTCCCCTCCAGTGCACTCCACACTGCTACAGATCTTCTTCACTAGGTCCAGAAAAAGATGTAAATTTGAGCATGAATTGTTTTGCCTGAGAAAGAATCACACACTGGACTTTCTGCATGAAGTGGGCGACCATAGATATGAAGGCCTTGATACAAATTGGGTTGTACACTCACAATTCACACTGTATGAATATGGGCTTTATCATTGAGCAAAGACATAGCAGAAGAGAAAACAAATCCAGACAGTGAGTGTAAAAACGCATTCCAGAGCTAGTGGGCAACCTATATTTACTGAAGAAAATTTTTTTTCCCAGACAGGAGTATGAAGCTAATCGTGATTAGGAGAAATCTAAGCTATGTGCTCGTCTCCTCTGCAGGTTTTCCGCTCTTCTTTGAACTCTGACATCTCAAGGGGCTAATCTGCCTTGTCATACATCGCTTGAAAAAATTTATGTGGCAATGCTTTTTTTTCTTATTTTGCAAGTGTGATTATGTAGTAAACTGAACTGAGTGCTTTTGTTTACTTGTCTTCATTAAGTGTGTATCAGGCCATATATTTAAACAAAGGCATCCTTTCCTGGTAAAAGCTGACATTCTAGAAAAGTCTGTCTATGCCAGTTGAGGATGTGGTCCATGTTTCTTTCCCTTTACCAGTAGGTTTTGAGGGAAGGGCAATTAGACAGAGCAATGATTTTAGTTCAGATTGTTAGGCTAATAAATGGTCAACTGCAGATATTGTAATATAACATTCCCACCTTGTTGTTTTACCCCTGAAATTTTGGTCTCAACCAACATTGCTTTTCCTGTGAGCCTTTCTGCCTAGACTGATGAGATTTTAAATGTTTGTGGGACCAAAATTGTCAGCAGTTCTGTAAAGAGTGCCTCCTTGTTGTGAGACAAACAGCTCTGATAAGGAGAGGCAAGCACAGAAGGCTTGAGAAATACCAGGTAATCCTCAGCAAGGTAAAGTTCTGCTCTTCAAATACTGTTCCCCATGTCCTCCCCGTTTCTGTTCCTTTCTGACCTAGATAGCATTGACATGAAGTGTCTTATTTTGGAGGGGTAATTACAGAAAGTTTGGTATTTAAATATGCAGGAAGAATCATTATGAACAGGCAGTGTGACCCAGACAGCACAGAAGACCAAGCAGGTCTCCCAAAAATTTCCTGTTAACTCCCGTAACAACTAGGATGAACACATCCTGTTTTGGGAAAAAGATGTAACAAACAACAAAATCAATCTTCCTTTAACATTTCCCAATGCTACTCAGTAAATCATCTCAGTGGTAAGTTACCCTCACTGTTGAAAATATACACCTTATTTCTAGTCTGAATTTATCTAGCTTCAACTTCCAGATGATGGATCCTGTTCTGAATTTGTCTGCTGAGCTGGAGAGCACTCTGTCAAATTTCTTCTTCCCAAAGAGGCATTTACAGATAGTGCTCACAATCTCTTTGATAACTGAAATAGCCTAAGCAGCTTGGGCCCACACAGCATGTTTTCCAATCCTTTCATCACCATTTTGCTCTTCTGTGAACCCCTGCCCCTGACTGGTGTCTGTGTTGAGCTGTGAAAGGCAGGATGGTACCCAGAGCACTAGCACTCCTCACACCTGTGTGAAACACAGAGACAGTCCTGCATCTATCTCTACTGCTATTTGACTGTCCTGTTCTGTCGCCTCCCAGGATTGTATGTGACATTTCAGTACAGGAGTTCAGCCTTACCTCTCTTCCCCTCTCTGCACCCCATATCCTCTCAGGAAGGAATCCTTCAGCCTGGAGGTAAGTTCTGTGTTGCTCCTCTCTAATGTAGAACCTTTGGCTGTGCTAAAAGTTGTATTGTTTGTTCTCCCTCAATTTACCAAGCAATCTTTCTTGCTCTGTACCACAGTTCTGTCCTCTTCATTGTTCATCACTCTCCCAGTCTGGAAACAGCATAAGCAGAGATTTTATCTGTTCTTGTAGATAACTAGGAGAAATACCATGAATCCACCTGCAAGAATGAGTCCCAGAGAGATCATCTTCTTGTGCATTCACAAGACAGATGTGTATTTGATCTCTTCTCGCGTAATGGGCCTTCCTCCCATGCATGAGGGTTTCCATTTAAGACCCAGAAGGTTTTCCAGCCTATCCCATAGCTGCTTCTGTGGCAAGGTGAATTCCTCATCTGGGTTCTGTGTGCCACATAAGCTCCCCGCCTTGGTGCTGGGCCAAAGCTAAACCCAGGTGTGTGAAAGAGCTGACCATTTTCAGCCCTTCAGTGAAAACTTCAGCTTCTGCGCAGTGCTCAAAGTGCAGTGCTGTGCTGATGAAGAGAACGGTGGAGTGTGATGTTGGGCATATTGGAGGATGTTGGTCACGTGCGGGTTGCTGGGGATGAAAAAAGGCCAGTGGACCCAGAAACACTCACCCTGCTCTGTGCTCACATGAGGAGACAGTGAGAGGAAGATGAGCTGAACTGTGTGGGAGCAGGAAGAAGGGCAGAGGTCAGACCCTCAAGGGAAATGGGGTAGTAGGCAGAGATGTGGGGCAGGGACTCTCAGTGTGGGAGGCTGTCCACATCAACATTTGTCTGAGGATGCTGAAGCCCAGCTGGTCTAATTTTACTTCCCAGTTCTCTCTTTGTGTGGGGTTGGTGGTGAGCTGAGTAAAAAGACTAAGATAGTGCTGCACCCATGATATGGGAAGTTGCTGGCGATGATGGATTTGACTGCTGCCATCACAAGTCTTGCAGGGTGTTGCAAGGGTGAAGCCTGCTGTACAGTCCTGGCATGGCTCAGTACTCCCTACACTGTGAAAGCCATGTTCAGGCTGAGCCACAGATCAGGGGAAGGGGCAAGGGACAGATATCTCAGGCACATGACAGCACGAGCCCTGTCAGATAGTTGTGGGGCCTTTTGCCCCTAAGTTACTGAATTCTAATTATCCTCGATGTCCTAGATACCCTTAGTCGTTGAATGAAGGCTTTGACCTTAGGAACACCAACCCTGGGGGCTTCCAGAACAGTCAGCTTTAACCAGGTTCTTAAATACATGATCCAGTTTCTTAAAGATAGAGTCTGAAAATAAGGCAAAGTGGATTAAGGAATGGAAAGGCATATGCATTTTCTGGGAAGCCCAGCCTAAAGGAAGTCTAAGATCTCCAGCAGAAGCCTGGGGAACCTCTGTAATACATTGCTTTCCAGCCTGAGGAGCCTGAGAAGGAGAGAAGACATTTTGTGGCTGCTGGAGAAGGCAGAGTGGAGCAGAATGAAGAGAAGAACAGGGCACTCAGAGCTGGGGAGAGACTTGGTAGGTGGAACATGCACCCATGAATTGGTTAGGCAGCACCCTAGAAAGGAAACACATTCACCCCTACCAGGAGAAATAAAGCTAAGAAATAAAGTGCCTTTCCTCTCGGGGCACTTCTTTACCGCTTACATTTTCCACTCCATGCAAGCACTACCTTTCCATTGACCATCTTCTCTCCGAAACCTGTAATTAGCACCATATTTACTTCTTTATGGCCTTCATGGTGCTGTTTTCCACACAGAGGGAACAAGGTCCCAACAGAGAACTGCTAGCCTCAGTCAGGATCAGGACACTGAAAGAGACTTGCTTGGGATGATGCTGCAAATTAGGAAAGACAGAACTAGCACTCATTCTCCTCACTGCTAAGCCTATGTCTGCAGGCGTTAGTGTTTGAACATCTTCAGAGATGCTCCTTCTACTGTGCAGCCAAAGGAGCAACTGCAGCTCATGCAGTTTGGACTGGACAAGCCAACTTGACTCTTATGCAACACGATACACAGCACATGAGTTGCCAGAAGAATGGATTCCCTGGGATCCTTAACAAATCCTGGGACCACACTGCACTGATCTCTGAGCTGCAGAACAGCACTGCCCATATTCACAGTTGTGCTGGGTGAGTATTACTAGCGTCATGATCCTCAGGATGCACGTTTCTCTAGATGTGCTCTCCGGACTTGCAGATCTGCTTCCTCCGTGCGCAGGGTCAGAGTCAGAGAATGGAATTATTGCCTTAGGTCCCCTCTAGTTTGGTCCTCTTAGAGCACACTTCAGAGATCAGTTATTACTCCCTCGGGCATTTGCTAAATAACATTTGATTTGAATGACATTTAGGAGCAGCTGGCTGTTGACAGAGTCAGACCCCAGGTGTCTCATACTAGGTGTACAACAAATAAGGGTCACACAGTCAGTACAGTCAGTGGGGAGGCAAAACAAGCCCAAACTAGTTTGAGCAGTTCTGCATACAAATGTGACAGCTGATGCACTAACAGAACCAACAGCTGTTAATACAGACTCAGCACCTTTAACCACAAGGCCACCTCACAAGCCACTGCTTCTTTCTCTGCTTTTTTATTTTAATGGGGCAAATGAAGCAGGAATTGCGTCATTAACAGTGTCTAGTCAGCCTGAACCCTGTTTCATTCCTCTTGCCTTATGTTATAGAGGCAGCCATCCAGGAAAGCTAATGATGTCTGTCACAATGCACCTACGAGAAGTGGAATGCAGAAGACTGGAGGGGCAACCCTTTGTGGCTTTGCCAAACTACAGCAGCTTTGTTAGTTTTTCTGCAATACTTGTATATGTTCTTTGATACTTGTGACCTAAGATCTTTGGATTCACAGTGTCTTTGACGCTCTAGTGTGCAAAAAAAATGGCATGTGAACTTGTTTGCTGGACATTGAGAAACTTTCTGCAGAGATGAAGTCTGAGTGTCCGTATGAGACCAGCTCCATGCAGTGGCTAGTTCTGGCTGACTTGGAGTGTTTGCTATCTGTTATAAAGAATGTAGAGGCATATCCTGTGAAGGCATATGGGACATATCAAGCCAAGGCAAAGCAGGCAGTTACTCAGGGCAGCAGACGGCTGGGCAGGCAAAACCGTCATGTTTCGCCCATTCTGTTTTCCAGAGCAATGGAAAGCCAGCCAGCGGTGGCTGCTGCTCTAGATGGAGGTACCAGGATGTATAGACCTGCAGCCACCCTTAAGGTGATAGGTAGAGGAGTGGTATCCAGAGGTTGCAGCACAAGAACACAAGGATCATGGTGATAAACGTGGTACTATTTTTAACATTGCAATTTTAGCTAACTAGATTGCTGAAATAAGTAGTAGATATCTACCTCAACAGGACTGCTGATACCTTGAGAGGCTATGGCCCATGCGGTGACTAGACCTATCCAGGTGTTGCATATAGGTAGGAACAAGGTGGTCCAGAATAATACTTAGATGTGGAAGGCCTCCACATGACAGAGCTGGAGAAGGGAGGTGGAGAGGAGGCATCTCTTGAGGCAGCTGGACAACGCAAATAGTGGGTCGGTTCAGTAGAACCTGCTGCATTTTGCAGAAGGGAAAATTTATCTGAAAAAACTCTCAGGCATATCTTTCCTCTGCTGGAGACAGATTAGCAGGCACAGTATTGTGTATGCAAATAAAGTGACAGTTCTGATATCAAATACTAATATTTAAGAAAAGATCCAAATTCTGGTGACCCGCTCAACCTTCGTTCATTCCCTGGGAGGGAAAACAAAGGTGAAGGAGGGACATTTTCTCGGAAGTCCTTGTTCAGCCCAGGCTGGAAAAGACTATTTGTTGACTTTATGAAAACAACATACTCTGAGGCAAGAAAGAAAGAAGCTGAAGGAAGACAAACTACAGCATGGTATAGGTGGAAATTCAGGTACTGGAGCAGTCAGTTGCCTGATCTCTGCTAATTTGTATGAACTAGCAGTTTACAGTGTCTTCCAACAAGGATCGCTTTCCACAGGGACAAATAGATGTGTAATCCTGAGAAGTGCCCCCACAAGAGTGTAATTTCCTCATGGTAAAATTGATTGAAGTAGTGCTCCTAAACAAAAGAGTTCTGAAAAATATTCTGCTGGGAATGTAGCAAGCAATAAGTTTATTTTCACGAAAAATAATTATTTTTATCAAGGCTTTCTCAAGAAAAGAAACAACAAACCACAGCCTGAATCATAGACATGCTGTGGAAAATTTCAGCCAAAACTTTTAAAGTTTAGCAAAGTTGTGAGCAACTGAAGAACTTATATGGCCGCCCTCAATTAGTCAGTGAAGCTTGAATTGCTTATAATTAGGCAAGGAAGCATGTGTGTATACCGGAAACTATACTAATATGCTATTAATAGATGCTTCATTTTCACTATTCTCCAGAAAACAGTTAAGCTCAGGATGATCTCAGTGTATTGCATGTGGGCTTAGGGTTAATGCAGAACACAAGGTCCCAGCTGTAACGCTTAACTGCCATTCATTCCTGCCCCACTGCACTGGAAGGAAGGTTTAAGCCCCTCCTTTCTATGGAATTATCTTTGGCTATGGAAAGTGTAGAGCTGGTTCTCCTCTTCTTCCCCATGTGGGGTATCTGCAGGTAACCAAGGCATGAACGGACTAAGCCAGCAGCAAGGGCTGGCCCACACAGGGATGCCCTGCTCCATAGGAATGCTTATGCCAAGATAGGCCTGCCCTGACTAACCAGTAACTCATCCTGCCGTGGCCTGAAAACTGAACATGGCCTTCCTCCTGCAACCAGTGAATTCAGAGCAGGCACTTCCTCTAGTGTCTGCAGTTCCCTCACCCTGTTTTGAATGCTCCGTGTCTGAACTGTGCCTGGGATGTGCTTGGGCCTATAAGGTCTCGGAGACGCGTAAAATGCCCTAGAGTGATTTTTTCCTAGCATAGGCTGTCCAGATGACAGCCACAGAGATTTTCCAAAACAGATTAAAAAAGCAGGCACACAAACTGTGAAGACGGTTTCCCATGAAATACACACAGTAGTAGAAAACAGATGTGGGAATGAAATACTTCCACATTGGCTCACCCACACTTACCCTAAGACCATGGCCAGGGCAGAACAGTGCGTAGCAACGGGCTTATTTTGGAAATTCATCCTCAGATGGTCGTATCCCATTACCCTCCAATGTAGTAAAGCCAGGAGACATTTCTGATAGCATGAGAGGTTTCGTTTTGCTTTGTTACAGTGCTCTTTGCATATTCATAGTAGCACACCCATACAGCTACAAACAGTCATGAAAACTTAACTGCAGCAGTTCCTGAGTTGTGGGAGATGAGAAGAGAGGGGTTATGTTAGGGAGAGGTCCTACCTACCACTATCTCCTGCTGTGCTGGACTTAAGGTGGGCAAAGGTCACTCCTGATCTGGGATCATTTACTGAACCTTATGCCCACCTCCCCGACTAGATTTGATCCATAGGTTAGCCCTTGAAGAGCATTGGCAAAAATACATTCATAATATATTAATGTCCCAAAAATAACAGAAGGAAAGGAGATGAGTTTAAAACGGAGAAAGAAAACAGAACGAACAAAGGCATGCCTACGACATAGCTCAGACATCAAGGGTCTGAACTTAAATGCAGCTCCCAGATGTATTGGGGAAGGTCCCAATGAGGCTCTCACAGCTCTTTCTCACAACTTAGCTGTTTTCCCAGCAGTCTGATGCCAGGTTACAGGTATACCATAGCAGGGCTGGCCTTGAATGGCAGCAACCAAACCCGTGGAATGAGGAGCAGGTCTTGGAGCCCTAACACCCAGCAACCAGCCTGACAGGCCTTAAGGGGACACCCACTGAACATTATCTAAGAAAAGCCTCCAGGACAAGAAGGCTTGCTGGAGTCATGGTGTGGTAATGCCGTACAGAGTGGAGACATAACCCACTTACCCCCATAATGTCATGGCAGCTTGGGACTGGTGCCTTGAACTACAGCGACCAGAGTCAGACACTGACTCACTTGAGAATGCCTACAGCGCTGGGAGAATTTCAGGGCAGCTCATCAAACCAGCAGGTCAGGTCAGGGAGCAGACCTGAGTGGACCGTACAGCCCTGCATCCCAACAGCTGTCGTCCCAACTTTCCTGAAAGGCATAAAATGCAATTTGTGCTAGTCTAAAAAAAAATGATGGATTCAATCTGTGGTGTGCAAGAGGTGTCCAGAATACAAGACCTTGTATTTCCCAGACGTTCAGGTCTTAACTGTATGTTGGCACAAGAAAACCAATGGCTTCAGTCCTCTAAAGTCACCCTATTGTCCTTCCATCACTTTGGCTGCAATCACATCAGACATCTGCAGTTTCTCGGGCAGAATCCCAGGCCAGTGGGTCCCAGTGCTACGGATGAACGGCCATATCCAATGCAGCTTGAGATGGTGCTCAGTGCCCCTGCTGTCCTTCGGTTGGTCTGAATTACACGTCCTCCAGGGTTGCACACGTGACAGGAACACTCACAACAGAGCACGGGAGAAAAGAGAGGCCTATCGGGCTGAAAATCAGGTGGAGAGAGAGGAGTGCCTTTGTAGGTCATACAGGATCTAAACCTGCAACCTGCCAGAAGCGGGGAAATACCTTACCCTGTTGTTCAATCAAAGGAGGATCAGGGAAACTTCCTGATCTGAACTCCCTCCCTCCCCTTTCTGGGCTGCTCCTGCCTGGGAGGATGAAATGCCAGCATAAATACTCAAGTAAAATGACTCATTCATGTATTTGCAGAAATACCTTGCTCACCTTGTTACAGCACTCTCTGAGAGGCATAAACTTAAGTGGAAGTCCTAGAAAAAGGAGTATTAGAATAAATCCTGGAGGTTTACGTTCAGACAGTTACTGCAGGATATTTTAACACTGACTCATCTGTGAATGTTGGTTTCTAGAAAGAAGTAGAACTCTCTCTAACTTTTGTCTTGTTTATTTCTAATTCGTTGATCTCATGCATGTATTTTCCTTCCAAAAAAAAAAAAAATTGCTAGCCCTATTCACCCAAAGAGGCTGCTTGGAGATATGCATGTTATACACATGGATCTTATAAAATAAATCATTAAAGAATTTTTTGGAATCAGACTGTGCCTAATGTCATCTTACCTTGTGTTATGAGTTCATGAAATAGCTTTATATTTTGTATATTGTGTCTGTTGAAGCATATTATAGTTTCCAGGAAGTTCTCTGAGGTATTTAGATTTATTTCAATGTTTACAATGCATTTGTTGTTCATTAAACATATTTACCCAGGCTAACCCAACATGAAAGAAATTATCTTGTTTATAGTGGAATCTTGAGAAAATATGCATGCAGAAAAGATAGACAAACACACATAAACCTGCACTGCTGAGTGGAACATTGATTTGCTGCCACTTCCAATTTTTCTCATTAGAACTTATTTTGTTTGAACATAACTCAGTACTCCATGTAAATCTGAAATTGTTAATCTTATTACTATACAGAAGACAAATTAATTATTATGCATGATATTGGAAATGGGTTGTTAGGTTGGCACTGGAAGATTAGAAAAATACACTCATTACTTCAAATGATATCTGATATACATGTACAACTTTGTTTTTAAAATCATTTGCAATATTCAGATAGCAAAAACAGCAAGTAGAAAAGCCCTTCTTCTGTGTGGTTTTAGAATTTCACGTCCATATTCTGAAGGTTGGATTAAGGACTGTAGTTTGCAGTTAGACTTTTGTATGTTAAAATACCAGTATTCTAGCAGTGCAAATTAAGTTGTTGGATTGCATTCCATCCAGCTACAATGATGCATTCACTATGTTAATATAACTATCTAGTATGAGGGCCAGATGGCTGACCTAGACAGGAGAAGGATCTGCATTTCAGGTCCGCTATTTCACCTTGGCTGTCTTCCTAGAAACACTTGGAGCTGGATGGAAGAAGCCTATTGGTGGTATTCTTGTTTTTTCGTAATAATATTAAAGTAAGAAAAGGGGCATGAATGTAAGGTTTCTTCAGTGAAACTTGCATAGCTGCTTGTATATTGGGGAACCAGGCTGTGATTAGGACTTCTAGTTCCTGTGGTAATAATAATATTAGCTAATTAGTGCCTGTGGATTTTTGTTTTGTTTTGTTTTGTTTTAAAGGTGCCTGGCTTCTGTCTGTTTGGAGCACATTATTTCCTTGCTGGTGAGCTACAGAGAGTG